ACGATAATTTGATTTGAGACTTGTAAGTAGAAAAAAAAAACGACAACAACTTTACATTAGCTTACTCTGCTCCTTCTGTTTTCGATCTTTGTTTTCTTTTATTATTTATAATAAATAGTAAAATGAATACTCGCAACGCCAAGACGCGCCAGATGGAGAACCAACTCCAGCTTGCGCTCCAAGAACTTAAGGCGTCCAGGGAGCAGTGTGAACTGTTGCTTAAGGAAAGGGATGATAATGAAAGGGAAATAGTTAGCATAATTGCCAAAAATACACAATTGAAATGTGATATGGTTAAGTTCCATACAGAATACACAAGTGTTATAAAAGAAAGAGATCAGCTACAGGGAACAGTTAATGAGTTTGACCAATGCAGCAAGGAATATGAGAAAGCTCTCAGGTTAATTGCTGCATTGAAGTTACAGTTGAATGAGGCTAATGAGCAAATAACACAATTTAAAACATATATAGATAACCTTAAAGCCTCCCAGACTCAAAGCCTGTTCTCTGAGCTTGTGCAATGTGATACTTCAAGAATGTTACAGCAATCTGAAACAATAGACTTGACTGGTGACGACTCTTCCACTTCAGGAAACACAGTAAGGATTAATTGCAGTAAAACCAAATTGAAGAAGTATATAAAAGTTAATAAATACATAAGGAAAGTACAAAAATTAATAAGAAATAAGATTAATACCAAAAATTATGTTAATGTATGTAAAGAAAAGCAAGCATTGTTATATGAACTTAAGTTGTATACAATTGAGATGGATAACATAAAAAAATGTTATGAGACTGAAGTAGAGTGCCTTAAATCAGAAATATTATCACTTATGAACTCCCTTCAAACTGTGTCCAATAAATATAAATCAGCCCAAAATGAAATAAAAGAACACATATTGGCTATGGATAATCTGGTAAAGACTTGTAAATATAATGAGGAGTGGTTTGACTCCTTAGTTAAATATCAATGTGAGTGTCAGCACTCAATACCAGATTCTTCAAAGTCAGTGTGTGCTGATAATATTATACCACCATCAAAACTCTATGACAGTGCCATAGCAGAGGATATTAAAATAATAAATAACTCAAATATTACTATTACTAAAAATAATATAATTGTTTATAGCAATGACATGGGAAAAAATCTAGGCATAACTTTAAATAACTCTTTAAAGGGACAAAAAGTTACAAATTGCTGCATGCCTGGAGCATCCTAAATAAAATTATTGTTACTAAATTTTGCCCAAATAGTACAATAATAATTTTTGTTGGTAGAAGAGGCAGTGTCAACAACAAACAGTTATTAAGATATATTGAACTTATACTACACAAAATTATCTTGTTCACACTGCCTTATATATACAGCCTTATATATACTGCCTTATATATATATACAGCCTTTTATATACAGGGATTGCCACAAGAAAATAATTTAAGACATAATTTAAATATACAAATGCATAATTTAATATGTAATAATAATTTAAATTTGACATATAATTGTAATGATAATAATCATAAATTTCATGTAATTGACATAAATAATTTAATAAAAAAGTTTTGGACAAAAGATAGGTATTACCTATCCAAATATAATTTAAGACTGATAGCAAATGTGCTATCTTATTATTTACTTTTTAACTCAGTCAAGTTTTTGGCTACCAAGACTGCTTTTATTGAGCATAATCATTTGACATTTAATTTGGAATCAGTTCCAACTAATTTAAATTAGTGAATGTGACAATAGAGGCAATCTCTAGCAATAAATAATAAGAGTTTAATTAATTTTGAATACAGCCCACAAATAAGTAATAAAAATTGTTTACACCTGGTGCATCAAAATATACAAGGCATGTTGGGCAAAGAAATGGAAGTTGAATTGTTTTTAAATAGTAACAATATACACATCCTTTGTGTTACTGAACATTGGCTAAAAGATTATAATTTCATGTTTAATTTCAGAAATCACCAGGTGGTCAGTTCCTTCAATAGAGAAAAAAGTTTTACGTGGTGGCTCCTTAATATTAGCAGATAAATCATTATTATATAAAGAACGTAAGGATATTGTGAGCCTCTCTGTTGAACGAATTGTAGAAATGGCTTGTGTCGAGCTCGAGCACCTCATTGTTGTAAGTGTTTACAGACCCCCATGTGCTACTTATGACCATTTTGAAAGGATTGTGGAAGAAGTTTTACTCAAACTTAGTAAACAGAACAAGTCTGTTGTAATGTGTGGAGACTTTAATATCAATCTTCTTGAAACTTCTTCCATTAGTATTAAGTTTCGCTCATTGTTTAAATCGTATAATCTTGTAAATTTATTCTTAGAACCAACACGTATTGCTGGCCCTAGTGCGACCTGTGCCTGCAGTCTCGACATAGATAGCGATCGCCTAACAACAAATATCAGTTGTTAAGTCATAACAATCCGAATATAACAATATTTGGTAGTCTCGACTGTCAAAGCTATCAATTTAATGACGTTACCGTAACAACACTATAGAAAACTTTACAATTTATTGATATGTTAGCAAATATTTTATCAACCATTTTTGACAGCCCGATAAGTGTTCCTTACGATCGCAAGCTGTTGAATTGATGTTTTAACATTTATTCAAATCTATATTTAGCATAGAATTTGTCAGTGCTCGAACAGTGGCGACGTATAACCATAACGGTTATACGTCGGCAAATAGCACGCAACCGGCGCGAAAGTGAAAATCCCTTGGATTTAGAGGATAGTCAATTTACAGTATTACAAAAGATATGTTTACCGAGCTTGTAGGTGAACTTGGACCATCTCTTTAAGAACAACAGCGGACATTCTGTGTATTCTCAAGTGAGTGTCATCATGTAATTGTCTATACCTTTAAAAAACTAACACTATTTGTCGATTGTAATAACTTTTACTTTCATTTCCTTCTAAATAGGTACCTACTGACGGCACTTCTATTTTATGGTAGTGGATCAGTTGGCATGCTGTAGGGTTGCAGCATGAGCCAAAAATCGGTTAGTCAAGTAATACATGCTGTTAATCAAAAATTATTGAGAAAACATATGAAATTCTCTATGACCCATGAAGAGCGGCGAGCAGCTAAAGAAAAAATTTAATATGCCCAACAGCAATTCCCAGATGCAACTGGAGCCATAGACTACATAGCTCCAAAACTGCATAACCTCTTTATGCAGTTTTGGAGCTAAGTAACTAATGTAAGTAAGTAATGTACTAACAAATGTAAGTGTTCAACATGATGGCCATTAATTAAATATACAAGCTGTAAGTTTATCTTCAGTAGTTATTTTTTACCTATTTATTTGCTTGAACATATGAACAAAGTATCTTCCCCGTAAGTATTATTGACAGTAAGAAAAGTGTTATTGAAAAAACATTTCACTCAGCAGTTTAGGTCAAATTTAAATAATACTTATTAGTCTTTAGGGCTTACATTATAATTTTAATGCAAGTACCTAGTTCCACTCTGGAACATCATTAATAATTAATAAATTTATTTACTTATTAAACACAAATAGGTACATCTAATTAAATATATTTTAGGTGTGTGACACGACTTATTAATTTTAAACATCAACACTAAATGGCCAGGTGCTAGACACAACGCTCTCATATAGGCAAATTCACTTATATGCTCGACCATGAGGTGATATTTTGACAATGGGGATCACCGTACATTTATTTGGTGAGTTACGTTTATTTGGAAGAAAATGTCTATAAGGCTTCCAAATGCAATTTATATGTTTAGTCTTTTAAGTGATGATGGATATCCTCTGGAGCCATGGTTGATGACCTCAATGAAAAATCAATGCCTTTGGAGCCAGAAACATAAAAATATTCTTTGGTAAACTAGTCTGTTAATAGGTGTCTATCTCATCAACGCTAGTTAATGTACGAGCCATACACTGCTGTCCTAATAGTCAATGCATGTGCAGTGCTACACATCATGCATTCAGATTGATGGAACCATATTTCACCACATCCACAGAAATAATTGTTCATAGCTTCAATGATGATGGCCTAGAAGATATAGGTGATCATGTTGTTTGAGACATATTAGAATAGACTATTTTGCTTTATTATATTAGAATAATCTTAAAATTTTATGTTTTTATCACAGGACAAATGACTGGTACTGAGCAAGCTGTTGCAGAGTGCATACAAAGATGACTCATAAATACTGTTTTACTTTTTTTTTTATATAGGAGAGGGGGCAAACGAGCATGCGGCTCACCTGATGGTAAGTGACCACCGCCACCCATGAACAACCGCAACACCAGGGGAATTGCAGATGCGTTGCCGGCCTTTTAAAAAGGAGTAGGCTCTTTTCTTGAAGGTCCCTAAGTCGTATCGGTCCGGAAAAATCGCTGGTGGTAAACTATTCCACAAGGAAGTTGTGCGAGGAAGAAAACATCTTCTAAATCGCACAGTGGTGGACCGCCAATCATCCAGATGGTGTGGATGGTATCGGGAGTTCTGCCGCGATGTGAGTTCGTGAAATTTGGCGGCTGGGATTAATCCGAACAATTCCTCAGAGCACTCCCCATGGTAAATGCGAAAGAAAATGCAAAGAGATGCAACATCTCTTCGCAGTGCCAATGAGTCGAGCCGATCGGAAAGGACTCGGTCGTCGACGATTCGAGCCGCTCTGCGCTGGATGCGGTCAAGTGGAAGGAGCTGGCACTGGGGAGCCCCAGCCCAGAGATGGGAACAGTATTCCATGTGAGTCATCTTTGTATGCACTCTGCAACAGCTTGCCCAGTACCAGTCATTTGTCCTGTGATAAAAACATAAAATTTTAAGATTATTCTAATATAATAAAGCAAAATAGTCTAATCTAATATGTCTCAAACAACATGATCACCTATATCTTCTAGGCCATCATCATTGAAGCTATGAACAATTATTTCTGTGGATGTGGTGAAATATGGTTCCATCAATCTGAATTATCTATAGTAATAATGTGTGAACTGAAACAAAACATTAAACATCTGAATTTATTTATTATTTTTATTTCACAACAAAATTAATGCATCTCTTATTTTACTGCCCAAATAAAAGAGACAGACGCCTCAGCTTGCACTTTGGCTCCCTCCGCCTACATTTTGGCAGCCAGCATCTGTAACGAAAAATATAGATAGATTAAATGCTTGCAAATTTTTTAGCATGCTGGTTTGCATATTTTTGTTCTTACTTAATCATGCTATAACGGCAGAAGAGATTCATATGAAAGGAGGATGGCAAGAATGCATGTATTTTGGGACCCACTGATAGGAGTAGCGTTCATCATGGAAACTTAATAATAGTTGTAGATCGTGACAAAACTAACAAAAAAGAAAATGGGATGTAAGTCTAAAAAAGTGGGATAAAAAAGATATACTTAAAAATATCAAATAACCTAAAACTAGAAAATAACCTAAAATTATTATTCAAAAAAGGATCAGGATCGTGCCAAATGGAAGTCCATAGTCTCTGCCTACCCCTTTGGGTGACATGCCTGACTGTTTGTGTGTATTATTCAAAAAACACCCATTATGGGTAGATGTTACCGCTCAATTGTATCTGAATATTATTTGTATTAAAAAGTACATATAAGTACCTATAATAAGTACTTTTATATGTATATAGGTCACATGGAAGTACTGAAGTTTATTCCATAGTCAATGGTATTTTGTTTTATTTCTTGTAACTCCCGTATTCTAGAGCCCAAATATTTTTTACATGAACTTATAATTAATATAAACTTGCATACATACATTGCTTCGTTAATCTTAAAACATGTAGGTCCATTTTTGTCATTGTCCTTTAGACCATAATATATAGAGCATATCTTGAATTAACACAGGATACTTCCCATCTCTGATATAGTAGATAAAACAACAGAGCACACAAATATATAATGTAAGTAGGCATTAAATAAATAATAAAGCTCATACTTACTTATTTGTGGTGCTGGTGACTGCATTATTATTTCATGCACCTGTTGTTCAGTGGTAATGCCTCGGTTGCCAGTCTTTATCCTTTCTTTCCTTAACTTTGTTGCTTTAGTGAGCCCCGGCTTTTAGTCTCTACATACCTACAAAATAAATCATTATGTATTCAAGTAAATATTAGTTACACTAGTGCTGCACGATGTGCTGGCTGATTTATGTATAAGCTATTAGAAGAAAATCTAGAAAATTCTTTAATAGAAACTTAACTGTTATCCACTGCTCTGGCGTCTTGAAAGGAGCTGGTTGAAGTCGTCGGCTACTTTCTTCCAGCCTATTTAAAAATTCTTCTTGCCCTGCAGGCTGGTAAAGTTTCTTATAAACAAAAATGGACGAGCTGCTGACTTCGACAGAAGTGGCTCAATCTGCCAACTTGTTACGCGTGGTGTGCGTTTACGTCTGAAAAATTACATAGAAGTATATTCAAAGTGTCATTACATAGTCTTTTAACAAAGCATTCAATATAGGTACAACGATAGATTTGAAATTAGGTGTTGTAGGTTGTACTTACGTGCAGCTCGAAACCGGGCCTGCGCCTGCATAACTGTTCTCCATCATTGAAATATCACGAACATGATACAAAAAAGAACATGATACGTACTAAGAATTAATTATTTTTGCAATCAACAAGAACTTAATATTGAGACATTCTTCTTCTTCTTCTTTCTTTTTTATGGCGGTTTTGATCATTCGCCAATGTCAGCGTGAAAGCGTTTATTGAGTATAAGCTCAGTAGTTACAAATACTATGCCCATATACAAGAGAAGATTGTGATAGTACAAGTATCTTTTTTCCTTTAAACCAATTTTTTCCCCTTTTATCTTGTAGTACTAATGGTTATACTGTTGAATTACCTAGAACAAATGACAAACACGGTTGCTATAACTACATTAGTATGTTAGTATTGACAAACATTAAACTTTTATACCATTAGTGTTAATAAAATCACACAGAATATATACATAAGGAGTGTTTGTGTAGGTTAAAAGTGAATCAAAATTTATAGGACGAGGGATGTCAGGAGGGAGATAATCATAGAGTGAACAAGATAATTTAGGACAGTTAAAAAAAATATGGTCGGAGGTTCCCTCATCCAACCCACATTCGCAGAGGGAACTATCCCTAATCCTCAGTTTGGCCAAATGTACTGGTGTACAAGCGTGGCCAATTCTAAGTCTACAAATAGTTGATGTAGAATGTTTATTAGCTTTATTGAATTTGAAAAACCATGGTTTTGGAAGGATGGCACATTGTATAGCAGCATAGTGTTTACCTTTTATATTTTGAGTGGCTTTCCATAATGTATTCCAATTATTATTTAACTTCTTCTTTGCAAGTAACACTATGTCTGAGGAGTAAGTTAAATTACATGGCAAACCATTTCGACTGGCATTTTTAGCCATCAGATCAGCTGTTTCATTGCCCTTGATGCCACTATGACCTGGAATCCAAGCTAAGGAAACCTGTATGCCCTTGAGATGACATCTATACAATGTGTGTTTAATTTTGAGGATCAAGGGTATCTTATATTTACTTTGGAATTGGTTTGACAAAATTGCTAACAAACAACTTTTGGAGTCGGTAAGAATAACTGACTTATTTAAGTTGTGTGCTTCTATATATATTAAAGCTTCATGAATTGCCGTGGCCTCGCCAGTAAAAGTGGAAGAAATAGAAGGGCATTTAAAATTAAGAATTATTTTGAATCTGGGAATCCAAACTGCTGCTCCAGTACAACTTTCATCTGACTTTTTGGAGGCATCAGTGTATATAATAAGCCAGCCTTTCCATAAATTATCTATGACTCTACTTACTTTACTATTTGCTATAGGGCAATCTTTCTCAATACCAAGGTCGAGGTGGATATTTGGTTGGAAAATGATTGCATCATATGGGATATCAAATATGGGGCAGGACTTGAATTGTGATACTGGGTATGGTAGGTGGAGTAATGTTACCAAACTGTTGGTTAAGCAGGGAGATTCTTTATGAGTCCAGTAATGTTTTGACGAAATATATTCCAAAAGGAGGTGTAGTTTAGAAATGAGAGGGTGGGAAGAGAGTTGGTAGATTTTAAAAAAGTATCGGTCCGAAAGATATTGCCTTCTTAGATAAAGGGGAGGGTCCACACATTCAACTTGGAGAGCATTTATTGGGGAAGATTTCATTGCCCCGATGATTATACGAAGGCTTTTGGATTGAATCCTGTCTAGGATCTTTAGGGAAGACTTATTGCACGGTTCCAAAACAAAACATCCATAATCTAAATGACTACGGATAAGGGCGTTGTACAGTATTTTTTGGGAGAATGGGTGGGAGCCCCACCAGACACCCGATAAAGCGCGAAGAATGTTTATATTCTTTTCACATTTTTTTGAGACATAGTTGATGTGATGAGAAAAGGCTAGTTTGGAGTCAAGAATAACTCCTAACAATTTTACATTCTCCCTAATTGGGATAGGTTCATTATTATAGAGAATGTTGATTTCAGGGACTTGCCTATGGCGAGAGAAGATTACAACACTGCTTTTGGGAACAGACAAAGACAAACCATGATCAGTTAACCAATCCTGTAAATAAGACATTGATATATTCAAGCGAGAACATGCTGCAAGGAGGTTATCTAGGGAAATATATATAGCTATATCGTCTGCATATTGGAGGATGTTACAGAAGGAGTTAACAGAAAGTTCTAAATCATAAGTATAGATAGAATAGAGTAAAGGACTAAGTACTGAGCCTTGTGGGAGACCCTTCCATACAATTCTTGGCGGGAGTAGAGAATTTTGACTGTCAATATAAATGGATCTAGAAGAGAGAAAGTTAGAGACAAAATTTACTATCCTCACTGGAATACTCAGATTAAGCATTTTTTGCCTGAGCACAGGAAGAAGTACATTGTCATATGCAGGACGAGGTATCTAGGAAGACTCCAACAAGGTATTCATGTTTAGAGTAAGCTATACGAATATCAGTAACTAGAGTACTAATGCTATCCATGGTGCTTAAGCCCTTTCGGAATCCAAATTGGCTTTTTGCTAAAAGATTTTTGCTTTCAAGAAACCATTGTAAACGATTTTTTATTAGGTGTTCAAGGATTTTGGCCATGGTGCAAGAAAGAGCAATAGGGCGGTAGCTTGCGGGATCAGTGTAGGGCTTACCTGGTTTGTGAATAGGTAAGATAACTTGGGATTTCCACTCTTCAGGAGGAATACCGGACATGTAAATATAATTCAAAATAGAAAGAAGATGGGCTTTAGTAGATTCACTGCTATTAGTAATAAAAGAATAAGGGATTCCATCGATTCCTGGTGAAGAGTCTTTAAGGACATTAAGAACAGAATATAACTCCTCATAAGAGAAAGGAGAGTCAAAACTGTGTTGATAGTGCAGGGACTGTGATTGGAATACTATACATTCATTGTAAGATGGTACTGAAGGAGGAGCAAGTTTACTAGCAAAATTTTCTAGCCAATAAGACTGATCATTAGAATTTGTGTTTTCAGGGGCCGAAACTGAACATCGGAATTTTTTTATATTTTTCCAGACCAGTGATGGATGAGTCCTAGGCGACAGTGACTCACAGAATTTAAGCCATCCAGCCTTTTTCTTTTCAGACAGTAATTTTAATGTTTCAGCAGCAGTTTTTTTATAAAAAATATAGTTATCAAAATTCATTGAGCGGGAATATCTTAGTTCAGCTTCCTTTCTCTTCTTGCATGCTACAGAACAATCTTGATCCCACCAAGGCGGTGAAGGAGCATTATTTTTATAAGGTTTTTTAATGGGAATTGTCTTATTTGCAGCAGATAAAATAGCATTTTTGAAAGTAGAATACACCTGAAGAACATTCTCTTTCTGAACCGTAGGGAGGGATGAAAGTTCTTCGTCTAGAACTGTGGAATACAGATGCCAGTTTGCTTTGGATGTGTTATATTTTAACCTAGGTTTGAATGGAACATTGACTGTATAGGAGTTAGGAGGATTGATAACAATAGGAAAGTGATCACTGCCATGGGAAATGGGTAATATTCTCCAAGAAAGAAGGGATGACAGGGCAGGAGAACAGAGTGACAGATCTACTGCACTTTTAGGATTTTGGAGGGGGGAAACTCTACGTGTAGGTGAACCATCGTTAAGCAGGCAGAGATCTAAATCATCAATGATGTCTAAGAATGTAGAAGACCAGGGATCACAAAAATGGGAACCCCATAAAGTATGGTGCATATTAAAATCACCAAGAATTACCATAGGAGGAGGGATGGAGGATATAATCCTCGTAAGTTCCGATAAGATATTTAGATTAGGTTCGGGAATGTAAATAGAAAGGAAAGAAATGTTATGAGATCTAACTGCAACAGCATTAATTGAAAGACTATGAGAAGGAAGGGAAATTAATGTATAAGTAATTGATTTTGAGATAAGAATGAAAGAGCCAGCATGACCATCACTTCTATCATCCCTGAGACATGAATAGCCTGAGACCCTAAAATGGGAGCCAGGCTTTAGCCATGTCTCCTGGATGGCTAGGATAAGGGGATGGTATTTATTAATAAGATATATTAGTTCGTTTTTCTTATTTTTAATGCTCCGGCAGTTCCACTGAAGTATTGGAGGGAAGGTTATTTGTTAAGGAAATGAGCTCAGTAAGTTTTTGGCGGAGGGCGAGTGGGAGATCCATGTCGCTGAAACGGGAAAGCATACTTATAAGCATGGAGACCATCAGTTCGCAGAGATTATCATTAGGGGAAATACTTCGCCCTATTATAGCACAACCATTAGTAGATGAAGAAGGAGGGGTATTTATTATTGCCTCATGGGCAGATTTATCATATCCATGACTAGATGCTGGATTTGGCGAAAGTCTTGGAGTGAATGTAGTCTTCCTGTAAGAATGAGATTGTGAGGGGACAACTGAAGGTAAAGGAGGGTTTGAAATAGGACAGGAAGTCTGATGCTCATATGAAGGAAGGGTTCTAGCAGTATCTGCATAGGATCTACGGACTTGAGGGAAACGAGCAGATGCTTCTAGATAGGAAATATTTTCCTGTGACATTGTGAGTTTGATAGATCGCTGCCTAGAGTGTTCAGGGCAGGAGGGATCTTTAGCTGTGTGAGATCCTGAACAAAAAAGGCAAGTGGGAGACTGTCTTGTGCATGATATACCCTCATGATTTTGAGCACACACAAAACAACGGGAAGATGATCTACACTGTGAGGTAACATGTCCAAAACGGCAACATTTGTGACATTGAATAAGTGGTAAAATGTAGGGCTCAACGGGCATTGAGTTGTAAAAACAATAAATATTAGAAGGGAGTTTCTGGCCGGAAAAAGTTAAAAGGACTGTTTGAGAGGGAATCCACACAGTGCTTTGGTTTTCATTAAGTGATTTTCTATTAAATCGGCGAGCTTTAATGATTGAGCCAAAACCAGCTGGGACCTCGATTGATGAAATGAGTTCCTCTAATGTCCATTCTACAGGGACCTGCCTCACTATTCCCATGCGAGTGATACTATAAGAAGGGATTACAGCATCATATTTAGCACCTGCAAGGGCTGGGTTCTCAATAAAGCAATTTGCATCTGCTGCACTTTTAAATTCGACTGAGATTCTATTGCGCCCTACTCGCTTAACACCGTCGCTAACAACATTTTTAATATTATTATGGTAGAGAAAATGACCAAACTTTATCGGTTTTAAAACTACTCCAGATGATAAATCATCTACTATCTTACTTACATGTACAATAAAGGGCGCACTGTCGTTATTAGAGTATTTATGTTTTTTTTCAATGTAGTCAGGATGAGTATAAGAGGTCTGAATAGATGGTACAGGTTGAGATGGATCTGTAATTAATCTTTTCTGTGGATGAACTGAGTTATTGGTTGCTTGCGATCTTTTACGATTCGACTGATCGATCTCGATAGGCATATTTTTCTTTTTGGTACCCGCATGGGAGTCACATGTAACCCCGTCGGGATCGGGAGGATCTTCCTCCATTTTATTTTAACTACTTACATATATATACAACAACACAATTACTAAATACTTACGGATTTATAACTACTAAAACCAACACCACCAGAAATAGTAAACAGAAAAGTAAATCAACAGCTCTCAGAAGTACGAAATAGCCTAAAACAGAACGACACTTGTACACCTCACACCATCCGAGCACGCTCTCCTCTATTGAGACATTGTCAACTTTAATTTTGTTTTGTACTGATTTTGACATTAATACAGTGTTGCAAGGAGTCAAACTTTTATGTCCTTTGATATTTAACAAGTTAGTTAAATTCTTAGAAACGGTAAATGCTGCTTGTAAGTTGCTATGAAAATTATTTTTATAAAATAATATTTCTACTGTTTCTGTACAATTTTCCAAGAAAAGCAATTATTTTTTAGAAAATTATATCTACCAATTTTCCCTTTGATTCAAAGAGAGTTTTTAACAGCCAATATTTTTTTAAGAATACACCGTACTATGAATACGTTTTTTGTTAGCGTAACAACATCATAAACTGAAGATATGTCAGAATTTTGTTGGGTATCTCGGCTGTAGAGACTTGCATTTATCGTAAGCATCGTTACGGCAAACATTTTTTTACGTTATTATTTAGCAATCGGCAGTTAGCAATGGCGTTGCTATCTATGTCGAGACTGCAGGCACTGTATAGATAACATTTTTACAGATGTTAAGCCCTTGCATAAATCAATTATTCAAAATTTAAGTTCAGATCACTGTGGACAGTTAGTATCACTACCTTACATACACAAAAAATAGAAAAATAAGAAAGTTGTGTTTGTTCCAATAAATGAACATCGCTTGGAGAGGTTTAGAAGTAATATAATAAAGAGAATTCCATCACTTTCGTTTAAAAATAGTGCTAATTATTTGTATGCTACATTATTTGAAATTATAAGTTGTGAATTTAGTAGAATATTTACTTCTAAAACTTTCTCTTTTAACAGTCGCAAATCATTTAATGAATGGGCGACAGTAGGAATTTATAAAAGTAGGCGAAGGTTATACGAGCTTTATGATGAAAGATCATATAATAGTAGTGTTATATTTAGAGATTATGTAAAAACATTTTCTAAAATATTTAAAAAAGTGTGCTCCACTGCCTAAGGCTTTACATTTAAGCAACAAAATTAAAACTGCATCCGACAAAATTAAAATGATCTGGAGAATAATAAATAGTGAAATGGGCAAGGTCAAACCGCGCAACTCGGATTTTCAATTGAATATTAACAATAATCTAACGCGATCTGATCAACAAGTTGCTATGGCTTTTGAGAAACATTTTACTGATGTTCCTTTTTTGACAACAAAATCATTAAATTCTTCTCCTACTGTCGCCGAATCATTGCTCAAACAAAATGTAAAGGCTTGTTCAAATACTTTATAAATTCCATAGAGTACTGCCAAAAGATATCGTTAAATATTTTAAAACTATTGATGTTAAGAAAACGGCAGACTTATGGGGGATTTCCGTTAAAGTTATTTTATCTGTAATAGATATATTAGCACCTTATCTAGCCACTATATTTAATATAAGCGTCGAATCTGGTGTGTTTCCTGATTTAATGAAACATAGTAAAGTCATACCTATATTTAAATCAGGTAGTACATTAGACCCCGCCAACTTTAGACCAATTTCTGTACTACCAACATTAAGTCAAATTTTTGAAAAAATTATTTTAGATCAGATGTTAAGTTTCTTTAATATTAATAAATTGCTACATAAAAATCAATTTGGTTTTACAAGGGGTCGCTCGACAACTGACGCTGGAGTTGAGCTTATTAAACATATTTTTTGTGCATGGGAGAATTCAGAGGATGCTTTGGGTATATTTTGTGACCTTTCCAAGGCCTTCGACTGTGTTCACCATGAGACATTAATCAGGAAGCTACAGTACTATGGTGTCAAGAACACAGCGCTTAAACTTATTATTTCATATTTAAGAAATAGAAAACAGAAGGTTAATATCAATGGTAAAAGTTCTTCCGGATCACCTGTACTAATGGGTGTTCCTTAGGGCTCGATTCTCGGCCCGTTCCTGTTTTTGGTGTATATTAATGACTTACCTCACCTTTAAATAAAACTAATTTTACGGATTTTATCGCGTATATTAACTTATTTTACTTTCCCGACGTTTCAAGCACTTTACAGCACCCATGGTCACGGGGGGGACTGAGGTGTATGACGTCCCAATGTCATAGTTAACCACGGCTACCTCCAGATTAAAAATTATTAATTTTTGTTCCGATCTACGCAGTATGAACTTACAGTATCATGAAGTCTTGCAGTTGTATGCTTGGGTTGGGATTTAATTTTATTAATTATGGGATCCCAAGCAGATGGTAGCACCCAGCCATCTTCTCTATTGAAATTAGGATGTTTTTTGATTTCAATAGCCTCGCGAATCATCCTTGGAAGGAATCGGTGTTCTTTAGCGAGGATTTGTGGTCTATCAAATCTAATGTAGTGACGGGGGCGATCCTGTACGTGTTCACAGACTGCAGACTTCCCGGAGCGTCTATTCTTCACATCAGCTATGTGTTCTTTAACGCGGGTTTTTATGGATCTTTTAGTTTGTCCTATATAAGAGAGACCACATTCACAATCCAGCTTGTACACTCCTGCATCTTGCAGAGGAATATTACACTTGACTGATGGTAAAAACTGACTAATCTTCTTCGGCGGCTTGAAATAGGTTTTAATGGAAGCACGCTTCAAGATGTAGCCAATTTTGTCAGTGACACCTCTGACATATGGCAGTACAGCAGGCACTCGCTCGACTGTGGCCGGCTTCACTCGTTCACTGTGACGTAGGCGCGGGACCCGAAGCTTATTGTCGTGCAAAACTTGCTTGACGTGTTGGAGCTCGGCGGCCAGGTGTTTACTGTCACAGATCCCTCGTGCTCTCTGAAACAAAGATTTACCCACGGTAGCTAACTGTGAAGGATGGTGGTGAGAATCACCGTTTAAATATCTATCTGTATGGGTCTTTTTTCTATACACAGTGTGGCTCAAGGTGTTATCAGGATTCCGAATTACTAACACATCTAGAAAAGCTAAAGAATTGTTTGCCTCTAACTCCATTGTGAACTGAATTTTAGAATTTAAGGAGTTAAGATGGTCTAAAAATGCAGTTACTTTATCTAAAGGTAGAATTGTGAAAGTGTCGTCTACGTACCGCTTGTAGAATCTTGGCTTTATGGGAGAAGTAAGCAGGGCTTTCTCCTCAAAGTCCTCCATGAATATATCGGCAACAATGGGAGATACAGGTGAGCCCATCGCCACACCATCTACTTGCTTGTAGAACTCCTCCTTCCACAATAGGTAGCCAGATGTAAGGCAGTGTCTGAGTAATACTGCATATTCTACGGGCATGTTATTTTCCTCTAGCCTTCTAGTAACAATCGAGATGCAGTCTTCAACAGGTAGGCATGTGAACAGAGACTGCACATCAAAACTCACCATAGTTTCATTGTCTGCCAGATGTAGGTCTTTAATCTCGCTGACAAAATGGTAGGAATCCTTTGTGTGTGCTCTTGTATGTCCTTTGAGCGGTGAGAGTATATTCGCTAAGTGTTGAGCCAATCTGTAAGTTGGTGAATCGATTTGGCTCACTATAGGACGTAGTGGAGCATTGGGCTTGTGTATTTTTGGTAACCCATACAACTTTGGTGGTTTAGCACACGTAGGTATTATCGATTTTACGTCTAG